GTAAGAATCAACGGTCTTTAGTGATGAGTTCATAAGAGCGATTGGGTCGGACTGTTTGGTTTCCTCGCCTACCAATTTAGTTTTTGACTTCTGGAGCTTTAAAGCGAGCATGTGGTGGTAGGTTTTTTGCAACATTCTGAATTCCTTGACGTCTTTCTGGGAGGTGGTATCTGTCCTGAATTTCATTTACACAGTGTAAAACCGATTTGTGCTTTATTCTTTGTTTGGATTCCCAGTTTTCTACAAGATGTCTATTAGGATGGTTACGATTTTTCCTAACGCATCTTTCATAAATTTCTAAAGTGGCTTTTTCTCTCCGCAACCCGAGGGGTTCCACATTTGTATGGATTTCACATGCAGCAGTTGGTGTAGACTGCATAGCTCCGCAGATTAATCGGAGGGCATTATTTTGTACTCTGTCAAGAGTCTCTAGGTTAGTTTTGGAACAAGTTGTAAGCAGTGAGTTGTTGTACTCTATCACAGAGCGAACATATCCTAGGTATAAGCCCCTCAGAGTTTCCTTGTCTGATCCCCATGATGTACCTGCAAGTCTCTTTAATAACTGTAACCGCCTCAATGCCTTATTCCTGATGTTTTCAATATGGTTCTTGAGGCTGAGCTGCGGGTCAAGTGTGACTCCAAGGTATGTGGGATGCTCTTCTTTCATCACTTGGTGTTTGTCTAACCTCAGGTTAATATTCTTCCTTGCTACTTGGTGGCTTTTGGTAAAGATTGTGTAGACCGTCTTTGCACAGTTAATCTTGAGTTTCCATCTTTGGCAGTAATCATGCAGTCTTCTAAGGTCTCCATTCAGTCTTTGGGCTCCACTTTCCACATTTTCATGACTCTGCCATATTGCTAGGTCATCAGCGTACAAGGCTTTTTCGGCCTTGATTTGTTCTGGCAGGTCATTGATAAAGATTAGGAATAGTGTACAGCTCAATGATGAGCCTTGTGGCAAGCCCTCCTCCAAGACTTCTTTAGAAGAGATTGCGTTGTGCATCTTAGTCTGGATTGTTCTATCTATCAGGAAGTATTTCACCCAGTTATACAATCTGCCATGTATTCCTATGCTCATCATCTTCATCAGGAGACCTTTTCTCCATACTCTGTCATAGGCCTGCTGGAGGTCGACAAAGACTGCCACTGTGTGTTTCTTATTCTGGAAGCCATCATGTATTCTTTGTGTCAGTCTGAACAGCTGGTCTTCTGTGCAGCTGTTGGTTCTGAAGCCTGCCTGTTCATGGCATAGAACACCAGAACTCTCAAGGAACCAATATAAGCGCCTGTTTATCATTCTTTCTGCAACTTTGCCCAAGCATGATGTTAAGGATATCGGGCGGTAGCTTTTGGGGTCATCTGGAGGCTTTTTGGTTTTAAGGATGGGGACGATATATGCATTCCTCCATGCCTTGGAAGTTTGCTTGACCTCCAAGTTTTATTAATAAGCCTGAGAACTACTTCTCTCCCAGACCGGCCAAGATGTAGCAGCATTTCGTTGTGGATCTTATCTGGGCCTGGAGATTTTCTAGGTTTTAATTTCTTCAGGGCTTGCTCTAATTCATCCATGCTAAATTCATTTTCAAAAAGGGAGTCGCTGGCTGTTGGAGCTCTCTCTTGTTTCTTCAACTGAGAGAGCTGTGTTCTATCGAGTTCTGACAGCTTACCTGCTCTGTTAACCGAGGCAAAATAATGATTGAAATGTTCTGCTTTCTTCTTGTTTTTTCTTATAAACCATGTCATAAAATATATATAAGATAAATATGTTGGTAGTCAGGTCTGACCACAGCCATCTGTCTGTTTACTTGTAATCATTTCTAACATACAAGCTGGATGTTGTGAGGGCCTTTTGGGAGTGAGTGAACAGTGCCGAGGCACAGATAGATCATTACTGTCTGAGGAGAATGGCACTGTGAGGAGTTACAAGGGGATCTGGCTGACGCTCGACACTCAGGGGTATGGCGAGATGGATATACAATCAGACAGTTACTAACTCTTCACTTGCTGCTGAGGATGGGTATGGAGTGCTTATGGAGGTGTCCCGAGTGCTGTGATGTCAATTCTTAATTCAACATTCAACATTCATTGCTAACATGTATATTCCTCCATGCCATAATGTCAGACTGTCCATCTTCTCTCTTGGTCTCCCTCTGCCTCTCTTCCCCTGCATCACTTGATATGATAGATCAGGAGAATATCACGGATTTTCTATTCAGGATATTCAGGTGTGAGAGGGAATGAGCAGGCTGATAGATTGACCACTGCTGCTCTTCTGAGCGATGAACTACTTTATGATAAAGCAGATATGGTGAAAGCTGTCTGAGATCAAGTTGACAGAGCAATAGAACAGACAGAGAATTCATACATAGACAGACTAATTCAACCAAGTGTGTGTAGAGGTTCTGGAAGATATTTAACACTGAGGGGTCAACTTTGGCGGACTTTGAATCAGGTTGCAACTCTGCATGTCAGCTCTTCATTGGCTACTGAAGAATGGAACGGAGCTCATGTGGGAAAGTTCTGATTACGGTGTGGTCAGTTCTTGATTCATTCATTTATTTCTCTCCAGCTTCTGGTTGACTCGCCCATTGACAAATTAGGCTGTGGTAGAGTAAGCGAACACCTCATCGAAGTGTGCAAAAGTTTATACAGGGATTGTAGAAGTGTTGTTAGAATAAATCAGGGAACATCTCATCCTTTCACAGTGACATCTGGAGTAAGACAGGGGTGTGTCTTATCACCACTGCTGTTTATCACCTACATCGACAGTATATGCAAGAATGCCAAGCCCATGAATGAAGATCTTAATAAGATCAACGAATTACTCTTTACAGATGACCAGGCCTTGATAGCAGATACAGCCATGAAATTGCAACAACATCTAACATCCATGAATGAAGAATGTAAAACAAATAATATGAGAATCAACACTGAAAAGACAGAAGTAATGTCAATAGGAAAAAAGAAGACAGATCTAAACATAGCAATAGAATACAAAGGCATTAAACAGGCATCTGAGTTTAAAAATCTGGGAACTACATTTACCGAAGATGGGAAATTGGATAAAGAAATTGACATTAGATGCAGTAAAGCAAACCAAATATTGGGACAGCTAGCCCCCCTCTTACAGCATAAGACAATCCCAATCAGCACAAAGAGACATCTTATTCAAAGCATATTTATTCCAACTCTGTGCGACCAGTGCCAGACATGGTCACTCACAACAAACCATAAAAGAAAATTAGTAACCACGGAAATGAGATGTCTGAGAAGGGCTGTAGGAGTGACCATAAGAGATAAGATCAGGAATTAGATCATAAGAGAACAAGTCGGCACAGAACCAATTCTGGACTACATACAAAGACAGCAAGTGAAATGGTTTGCCCACTTAGAGAGAATGCCTTGTGACACCATACCATACAAAGCATACATGGAAAGAGAAGAAGGACGTAGAGCATGGGGTAGACCAAGAAAAAGATGGAAGGATAACATCAGAGAAACTCTACAACAGCACGATGTGCCTATGGTCGAGGCAGCCTGAAGAGCTAGAAACAGAACCTTATATCTCCCTCGACACCCACAGCGGTAAAAGAGGAAGTGAAGAAGAAGAAGAAGAAGAAGAGTTTCTTTGAAATCTTTCCATCTTGTTCTTGGTCTACCTTGTGTTCTACATCTTTCTCCTCTGTCGGCGTATGCCTTATATGGTATGGCATCCCAAAGCATTCTCTCTAAGGGGGCAAACCATTTTATTTGCTGTCGTATTTAATTTACAATTTGTTCTATTTGTTTCTTACCTGACCTCATTCCTGTGTTTATCTCTTCTGGTCACTGCTGAAGCCTTTCTCAGACATCTCATTTCCATGGTTACTAATTTTCTTCTCTGGTTTGTTGTGAGTGACCATGACTGGCAAATGATAGCATAGAGTTGGAATGGACATTCTTTCTATAAGATATTTCTGTGTGCTAATCAGGATTGTGTCATGATTTGTCCCAGTACTTAGTTCACTTGGTAATCTTAGTTTCAGCTTCATAGCAAACAGGTCACACAATAGTTGCTCGCGTCCTGTGCCAATGAAAAACACAGAATGCCCATTCCTGTCCCTTGTGAAAAGATTGACAGACTGCTGTCTCAGCATATACACTAGCATACACACGCATTAAAAGCATATGGTAGCCATCCAAAGTGCTAACACAAACAGTCCGACATTAGAAATGCAGTTTATCATCGTTGGTAGCAGAAGTTACCAACAGATCAGCAGTTGCACATGCGACGATCAATTTTAATCACTTAAGGGCACCACCAATATTGCGATGACAGGCCATGCGCTATTTTCTGAATCTACAGTTCACAACACCACATTGGTCACACTCTAAAAACATTCCAAATAAAATCTGCAGCTCACAGTGTCATGCAATGCACTCAACTCAGTATCTGAGCAACGAAAGTATATCCCTTCAGTCTACAAATGGAGCAAAAATGCAACGGTCGCAGTCTGACAGAAGCAAAAAATTTGCTTCTGGCAGAAGCAAAAAATTTGCTACGACTCTGACTCAAAACAGTGACCGTGCCTAACGCCCATTTTGACCGGAAAATTTTTAATGCCTCTGATGTTAATATCTTCGTCCAGTTTCCCTTCTGTCCTACACCATCTTAGTAAGTGGTTATCACAGACAGTGAAGACACAGTGCCTTCTGTGTTGAAAATGAAATAAGTAGCTCACAAGTTTAAGAGTTTAACGGTATAGAGGTAAACTCCATGATCATGTGAAGTAATGTGACGCACAGCATGACGACACACCTGGGTAAAATCGTAGAAGTGCTTACTCGCTGTTGAATTCCCTGATGGAAAGCATGTGTTCTATTATAAACTTTTATTAAGTTCAGTTTTGTTTGTTTATCTGTATAATTTGTATAATTCAGTATCATTCTTGAAATCCGTCATTTGCACTAACCACACGTGTTAAACATTTCACATGTGCTTTTTTTCTTTTTCTGTTTAGGACCGGCCAAAGCTCAACCGCAGAAGACCACAGAGTCGGAAGGCCCGTGTACTTGCAGCTGCCCAGACAGGCATCAGTTTTGGAGAGGGAGCATCAACTACTGTTCCAGATTCTGCAGGGACTAAAAACTTAAACATTGCAGATAAACCCCAAACTAATCCCATGGACACTTCAAATGGTGTCGTTGCTGGACCACCGCTTGTGAATCATCTCGGCAATTCAAAGACTTTGTCTTCTAATCTGAAATCTGCTGATTTATTTGGGAATGATGATTTGTTAGATGACTTTACTCTAGCCCCAGATCCACCTTCAGCCGTGGACGAAAGAAAAACATTCAGTGATGAACTATTCAAGAAAGACTTGTTTCATGGAAACAGCAAGATATCCAATGGAGCTGCTGAAGATCTGTTTTCAGGCTTCAGTAAACAAGAAGACATTCCACCAACTAGATCTAAGACTACAACAGTAGAAAAAACCCCAACAAACCAGAATGATGAAATAGATGGTTTATTTTCAAAAGCGTCAGGAAAAACACAAACAGATTCTTTGTCTGCATTCCTGGGCAATAATGGGGACATGCATCCCACGGCTTCACTGAGAAAAACATCCATAGAAAAAGTTAATGATGATGTTGATGATTTATTTACACCTTCAGCAAAAAGTTCAACTACAAAATCCAACCTGGCCTCGGAGATTCTCAAGGAAGATGATCTGTTTTCTACACCAAAGTCAAAGCCATCGTTATCTAAGGCTAGCTCTGGAGTAGTTTCTAAATCTGCTGACATTTTTGGGGACATTGATGATGTTTTTGGTGCTTCCAGTTTGGGCAAACAGAAAGGTATGATAACCTTCATGTGTCAGTAATTATTATGACATAATAGGCCAGATTTCTTACTTTATATGCCAAATTTATTTCTCAGAGAAGTCACAAAGCAAGAACATACACTGGAGCACCTCTCTGTGGTGTGACCAACCGACAAACTGGATTCCCTAGCACATCTACAAACTGAGTTCCCTGGCCAACTCACAAACTGGATTCCCAATGTGGCTAACATTTTAAGGACCCCATATGTGAAGTACAGATACTGATCCAAAACACCCTGTTGACCCTTCTACGTGGGAACCCTGCAATACAGATTCTTTAGAGATGGTAGATAATGGGTCAAGAGAGAAGTCACTCCAGTCCCACACAGTAGATGCAAGATTTTCTCATTGTTTCAATGGACTATTAACACATCAGACTCCGAGCTAGAGCTCAGTCTTCCCTAACCAACCAGTCTTCTAGAAGTAACGCTTTATTTCTCAAAAAATTTAAAGCTGTTAACATTTGAGTTTTTTAAATAGTCAGGAAGTTTGGACCATATCTGTTTGTGAAATTATCAAAAACTGTTTCGCTTTTTTTTGGAAAAATAACCAAGAATTGTTGCCTTATTTATCTCTATTGCTGATCCTATACATTTGCCCGTCACCTGAAGGTTTGAGGTTTGAATCCACACAGAGACAAGCTTTTTTTAATTGGCCTTGGCTCCCAAGTCAACTTAGCCACACACAACAATTTCAGGATTGTTATAAGTTCAGATTGTCAATGTAATGTTGACCAAATAAACCTTGGCTGCTGATTGGTCTTTAAAAATTTAGATTTTGCACCAGATGTCCAATGTGCCACTGGTGGGAAAAGGTCATGGCTGCTACATACACAGGAGCTGAGGTGGTATAGCTGCTAGTCGCTCGCATCCGGCTAAAAGGTCTTGGCTCAAATCCGCATCAAGTCAGATTGGTTTTTAAGAGACCTTGACTTCCAGGTCGGCCCAGCCTCAAATGGGTACTAGAAAAGTCCTGGGAAGTAAAGGTAGCCAACGTGTTTTTGACCTCATCACTCACTGAGTGCCAGTTGGTCTGTAAAAATATGAGTATAGCATCATATGCCTAGTGCACCAATGGTATAGAAAGGGTACTTTACTTACATACACATAGACACACACATATACCTATTGCACCAATGGTATAGAAAGGGTACTTTACTTGACTTACATACACATAGACACACACATATACCTAGTGCACCAATGGTATAGAAAGGGTACTTTACATACATACACATACACAAATTCATATGCCTAGTGCACCAATGGTATATAAAGGGTACTTTACTTTACTTACATACACATATACACACACATATACCTAGTGCACCAATGGTATAGAAAGGGTACTTTACTTACATACACATACACACTCGTATGCCTAGTGCACCAATGGTATAGAAAGGGTACTTTACTTACATACACATAGACACACACATATACCTAGTGCACCAATGGTATAGAAAGGGTACTTTACTTACATACACACACATATACCTAGTGCACCAATGGTATAGAAAGGGTACTTCACTTACATACACACACATATACCTAGTGCACCAATGGTATAGAAAGGGTACTTCACTTACATACACACACATATACCTAGTGCACCAATGGTATAGAAAGGGTACTTCACTTACATACACATACACACACATGCCTAGTGCACTAATGGTATAGAAAGGGTACTTACATTCACATACACACACATATGCGCATGTGAACACACGCATGCAGGCACAGTTACACCATAAATATTTAAATTATCAAGCTGTTGCCTTGGATAAAATACATTGGTCTCACATCTTTAATAGTCTAATGATTGCTGGTTTTTTAACTGATGTTTGACAGACACAAGCGGCTTCAATCCTCAAAAGGATGGAACAACTGGGAGCAAAAAACTGGAGGTATGTATGCTTCCTCATTCATTACATCATCATCATATTACTATTTTCCTTTTGAAACCAGGACATGCACTCAGCACACTCTTGTTTCATATTCTTTATTTCTTCGGCTCATGCCAGTGTCTGCTTTGTGCCACTAGGGGCCGTAACTGAAAAGATGAATGGTGGCGGAGGTAAGGCGCAGTAGATTGCTTGGTTAAACTGTGATTGTTGTGAAATCTTTAGTTATCAGTGACGTCCTTGAACTTTTTTTTTCTAGGTTTCCCTCTGCATCATGATGTTTCCATTTTCATATTGTAGCTCTTAATTGTCAGCATCACTCGGTTCATTCTCATTAGGTAGCCGAACCATTTAATTCGTTGTTTCGAAATTAATTTAACAACGGGCATTATTTTCATAGTTCTTCACACTTAAATGTCAAATTTCTTCCAGTGTCCTCCAGGGGATTATATGTCACAGTGGCACACTCAAATGTCAGACTCCTTCACACTTCTTCCAGTGTTTCCAGGAGATTATATGTCACAGTGGCATACCTAAGTGTGACACTCCTCCAGAGTTCTTCCCGTGTCTTTCAGGAAATTATGTGTCATCGTACCTCACTTACAAGCAAAACTCCTCCATTCTTCCCGTGTCTTTCAAGAAATTATGTGTCATCGTACCTCACTTACAAGCAAAACTCCTCCAGAGTTCTTTCACTGTTTTCCGGGGGAATTATGTGTCCAGCTGCTACGCCTTGACAGTTCCCATCAAGTATAGTACCAAGATTTATTAGAGTGTAACTTTATCTAATTTTTAATTCAGAGAAAACACATAAAATTATTTGCATTATTCTCCCTCACAGGATGCCAACAATGTCCGGCCAAAACCACCGACCACCAAAGAGGCGACTCTCCTGGCAGATGACACTGATATTTTTAGTGATATACCAAAACCCACACCCAGAGAGCTAAAGAAGAAAACCGGCAAGAAAGTGGTCGAGAAGAATGTTTTCCGAGATGACATTGGTTAGCATTTGGTTATTTGGATTTTGTGTGTACTTAAATGCCATCTTTTTTTCAGTGCTAACCTATTTAAGTATTTGTCTTTCAGTTGTGTTTGCTTTTGTCTTTTTTAGTTTCAGTACTACTGATTTGTCTATGCCTATTTAAGTATTTGTCTTTCAGTTGTGTTTGCTTTTGTCTTTTTTAGTTTCAGTACTACTGCTTTGTCTATGCCTATTTAAGTATTTGTCTTTCAGTTGTGTTTGCTTTTGTCTTTTTTAGTTTCAGTACTACTGATTTGTCTATGCCTATTTAAGTATTTGTCTTTCAGTTGTGTTTGCTTTTGTCTTTTTTAGTTTCAGTACTACTGCTTTGTCTATGCCTATTTAAGTATTTGTCTTTCAGTTGTGTTTGCTTTTGTCTTTTTTAGTTTCAGTACTACTGCTTTGTCTATGCCTATTTAAGTATTTGTCTTTCAGTTGTGTTTGCTTTTGTCTTTTTTAGTTTCAGTACTACTGCTTTGTCTATGCTTAAGCGTTGCAAACGCGCTTCATAATTCTGAGGTACCAGGTTTGAATCCTGTTGCAGGTCGTTTGGCAGCAGACCATCTTATGTTGATGTCAGCTATGGTATCAAGAGCCAACTGTTTAGAAAGCAGCGGCAAACTACTAAATGTAAAATTACCTAGTAAAATCTGACAGCCAAAAATGTTCCAGTTGGTTCTGCAACGTCCTGTAAAGGATATACAACTAACCTTTTTTTTAAACTGCTGCTTGATTTTATTTTTTATTTTATATTGACATAGCAGTGTGTTTTTCATGAGCTATGGTAGCAGTGGCTAGATGTTTGTCTGCCCGCCTAAACATCTTGGGTTTGAATCTGTATCGTGTCACATTTTTAAGAAAATCTCAGAATTGACTTTGGCTTCCAGGTCGGCCCAGCCTTGAATAGGTACCAGGTAATGTCCTGGGAAGTAAAGGGGGTCGGCATGTTGTCGACCACATCACCCACTAAGTGCCGACTGGTCTGTGAAGATCTGAGCCTAGTATCATATGTCCGATGCATCACTGGTGTAGAAAAGTTCCTTTTACTTTTGTTTTGTTCTGTGTGTGTGTGTGTGTGCGTGCGCGCATGTGTGGGGTTTTTTGTTTTAAATTTTTTCAAACTGTCTGTTGCCTAAGTGATGTCTTACTGTGATTTGTTGCCCCATACAATTATATATTTTGGAATAATGTTGACTGGTCTTTAGTATGTGTGTAGGATCTGTCATTCAGTAGATAATCTTGAACATCTTGCTGAATGACTAACCAACAGACAGAAGTCTTGTTGCTGGCATCTGAATGCTGCAAAGGAGCTTCAAATGAAAACCTTAAAAGTTTGATAGAAATGACAATGATATGATAAAAATGACAAAAACTGTGCCATTGTCTTGTATCCCATCAGTATTGTTAAGGATGTCAAGAATATTAAGCTTTTGAAGTCACAGGACAGACAAAAACAGTTGCATTATAATGAAAATTTAAAATTTGCTACACTATTTTTGACATACATCAAAGAAGAACAGCATTCTGTTATCGATTGGGTCATGACCTGGTCAGTCACTCCACTGTGAGCAGTCTAACGTAGAAGTCACACCATTTTGCGACTCCACTCATTCGCTCGCTGGCCTGACAGGCATGCGTCACCATACTGTACTTTCATTTGCCGATGAATTTCTAGAAATTTCTCCCTTTAGTGATTTTAAATTAAAAATAAGAAACAGGTCACAGAAGGCTGCTTCTCAAACAGAACGAACGAACGAACGAACAAACAAACAAACCTTATTTTCAAAGGGTTTCAGAATTGGGCGCACAGGCCCTTCTTACATTCTGCCATTCTGGCCTCACTCTGTGGTTACATTATTCCATTCACACATTGTTTTAGCAGATAATAATAGTATAATAATAATAGACATCAACAGTATCTTAGTTATGATGTACTGTAAACAGTGAGCTGGCAAACATACATGCTAGTCACTGGACTACTCTTCCATCTCCTATAAGTAAGTAGTAAAGTTCCCTTTTTCACGCCTTTAGGTGTATAGTGCATATAGGGCTATCCCTATATTTTTTATAGACCAATTGGCACAAGATGGGTGATGTGGTCAGCATCACACCGGCTGCCTTTACTTCCCAAAACTGCACCCGTTACCTACTTAAGGCTGGGTCGACCTAGAAATCAAGGTCATTTTTGAGCGAACCCATGACCTTCCAATCCATGCACGAGCATCTAGCCACTACACCACGGTAACTCCCTTGCACCACCTTTATGTCATTTAAAAAAAAATTGTATAGAGTGAAAAATGTAACATGAACTTTTGGATTAGAGTATTTTGTTTGTGACCATATGATTATCTTCTGTCTGCAGATGATATTTTTGCCAATACAACAGCTGCAACCATCAAACCTAAGAAAGATGTCCGGAAAAAGTTAGCCAAGCCAACAGCTGTTATCTCAGACAACATTTTCGATGACCCACTCAGCTGAAGACATGTTAACATTATGTTCCTTGTTATCTGTCACTGTTAACATTGTTGTCTTAATATAGACACTTGAGAGTTGTCTCCTCATGGTATATTATGAATCAGAGTTGTCTTCTCATGGCCTGTACACAACATAGTTGTCTTCTTACGGCCGACTACACAGATGATGTATTGCTATGTACATTATGCAGATCTTTACTAGTTAATCTACACAGAATCATCTTTATTGTCCAGTACTGATTTTTTCTTAAATGTGTTTTCTTATGTATGAGCCAAAGGAATAATGTTTGTTATTTTTAAAGAAGAAGCTGATTTTAATAACTAATATACATATGTTTATGATTTATGCAGATATTCAAAGGTATTGTGCCCTCAATAATACTTCAGAATGCTTGCAGTTAAGCTGAAAACCTTGTGCACTGATGGATTATTGCTACAGAAAATTTAGTAGAATACCACAGACCCAGAAGAAGAAAAACAACGCCATCCTTCTTGACCTGAGCATCAAGGAGAATTGGCTCATAAACAGGATCCTCTCCTGGAAGCTGAGGTGTTTTGGCCTTGGTAAACATCATGGTGGCCTGGAGAGAATGGCAATGGAGGGTGCAGTTTCTGGAAAATGAGGCAGAGGTAGACCTCTGCAAATATGGATACAAGACATTAAAGATACATTGGCTATAAAAGCACATAGAGCTGGAGAACTCGCTATAGAAAGAAAGACTTTTGGGCGTGCCATGCCGAGAGCTACATTTTGCTGGTTGATGAATCTTTTCATAGTGCGGTGAAATTGGTCACAAAATATAATAAATAGTTGTCATAATGTTGATCATATCATCGACTGAGTGCTGATTGGTCTATAAAATATAGATGTAGCCCTGTGTGCCCAATACGCCTAGAGGCGCGGAGAAGGGTCTTTTGCTTATTTTTGTTTATTCAGTAGTCAGTATTGTACAGCCACACTGTTACCAGTTCCAAGTGGCCAGATACTTGAAGATGTTTGTATATATTTGTTCAAACCAGAAATAGTATGTTCCGTTTGCAGAATATCTATAATCTCATATATCATGATGTGTTATTCAGATTTCATGCATGTCTGACTACTCCATTTTGTCTGTTGTTTATCTTCTTAGTTTACTCATCTAATGCCGTGGTGGCCTGATGGACAGGGTTCTGGTTTTGCTGGTTGGTCAAGGTTTGATTCCCAGATAATTTGTAACTTTTTGTTTTTAAACCTAGATGTTGTTATTTGCTTTCCAGCTCATTCCACATAGTTCGGCATTTTTTTTCTCCCAAACTTCATGTACTTTTAGTTTGCCTTCCATGTCATTCTTGTGTGCGCCTTGTGTCTGTCTCGTATGAGCCTTATCTATTTTGTGCGAGTCTTGTGCCATTCTTATGCGAGCCTAGTGTCTGTCTGGTGTGAGCCTAGTGTCTGTCTGGTGTGAGCCTTGTGTCTGTCTCCACTCCTGAGCAAGCTGTTTACCTTGCATTTGCAGTTTTGCTGACTTTTTTAATGTGTGAAGGTTTGACCAAATAAAATATTGTTACAGCGCTCATAAAGTTTACGTCTGGGCTTTACATTCAGCTGCCTGTAGGGTAGAGTACTGTCTGCATTCTGTTCCCTGCAGTACTCAGGTTATTAAAAAAGAAACTCCAGACAGTAAGGTTATCATGGAGGAAGGCCTCGGATACATTTTCAGCTTTTTTCTCATCTATTTATATAAAGAGAGAGAGAGAGAGCTAGAGAAAACAGGAGATATTAAACCCTGCAGATGATATGCATTCACAGAGAGTGATAGTGAGTCTTTGATACATTTAGACCCACTGTTATCTGATCTGATTGATTTATTTATTGCCTGATAACTCTGTTGTCATATTTAGACCCTGTTGTCTGATCTGATTGATTTATTCATTGCCTGATAACTCTGTTGTCATTTACTGCATTGGTTATGACTAGTCTGTTTGTTTCTCTTTCTGAATCTCCAGTTCAGGATATCGCCACTCTCTGATATCTTTATTATGTAATATCTCCACTCCCTAATTTCACCATTCTTTGACATCTCCACTCCAGGATATTGTCATTCACTGTTATCTCCATTACCACAATCCAATGTCACTCTTTCATTCTGTGATTTTTCCTATCTTTTGTTATAACTGCATTTGTTATTGGAAGTTAAGACTCGTTTATTGTTTCTCTTTTTCTGTCTTTTGCACTGATTCCAACTCAGTCTTCTTCTGGTTGTATAACTCACCTAACTTGCTCTTTACACTTGCTTTCCTTGTTCTTTCCACCTGACCTTCCACTTGCTTCCCCTGTTCTCTCCACTTGGCCTTTCATTTGCTTCCTTTGTTCTCTCCACTTGGCCTTTCATTTGCTTCCCTTGTTCTCTCTACTGGCTTCCCTTGTTCTGGAAGCCACCGGCTTCCCTTGTTCTCTCTACTGGCTTCTCTTGTCTTGTTCTCTCCACTGGCTTTCCTTGTTCTCTCCACTGGCTTTCCTTGTTCTCTCCACTGGCTTTCCTTGTTCTTTCCACTGGCTTTCCTTGTTCTCTCCACTGGCTTTCCTTGTTCTCTCCACTGGCTTTCCTTGTTCTCTCCACTGGCTTTCCTTGTTCTCTCCACTGGCTTTCCTTGTTCTCTTCACAGGCTTCCCCTTGTCCTTTCCACTGGCCTCCCTTGTTCTGTCCACTGGCCTCCCTTGTTCTGTCCACTGGCCTCCCTTGTTCTGTCCACTGGCCTCCCTTGTTCTGTCCACTGGCCTCCCTTGTTCTCTCCACTGGCTTCCCTTGTTCTGTCCACTGGCCTCCCTTGTTCTGTCCACTGGCCTCCCTTGTTCTTTCCACTGGCCTCCCTTGTTCTCTCCACTGGCCTCCCTTGTTCTCTCCACTGGCTTCCCTTGTTCTGTCCACTGGCTTCCCTTGTTCTGTCCACTGGCCTCCCTTGTTCTCTCCACTGGCTTCCCTTGTTCTCTCCACTGGCTTCCCTTGTTCTCTCCAATGGCTTCACTTGTTCTCTCCACTGGCTTCCCTTGTTCTCTCCACTGGCTTCCCTTGTTCTGTCCACTGGCCTTCCTTGTTCTTTCCACTGGCTCCCCTTGTTCTCTCCACTGGCTTCCCTTGTTCTCTCCACTGGCCTCGCTTGTTCTCTCCACTGGCTTTCCTTGTTCTCTCCACTGACCTCCCTTGTTCTCTCCACTGGCTTTCCTTGTTCTCTCCACTGGCCTCGCTTGTTCTCTCCACTGGCCTCCCTTGTTCTCTCCACTGGCCTCCCTTGTTCTCTCCACTGGCCTCCCTTGTTCTCTCCACTGGCTTCCCTTGTTCTCTCCACTGGCTTCCCTTGTTCTCTCCACTGGCTTTCCTTGTTCTCTCCACTGGCTTCCCTTGTTCTCTCCACTGGCTTCCCTTGTTCTGTCCACTGGCCTCCCTTGTTCTCTCCACTGGCTTCCCTTGTTCTCTCCACTGGCCTCCCTTGTTCTCATCACAACCATTATTGCTTTAAATGTCAGTGTGAGAGGATCGACTGGCTGGCCATTTTTCCAGAATGTTATTCAGATTTTAAGATTTTCTCCATGTCTCCCTCTCCCGTTTTTCCCCTCAGTTTTCCCCCTCCTGATATCCTATAGATCTGTTGTGTTACAAACTAGCACATTCTGAGTAAGAAGTCACTTTTCTATAGTGATTTCTTTACATTTTTGGTTCTCATACTTATATTTCATTTGCTTGTCAAGTGTACATTCGTCAGTACCGCTGAGTTTTGACAGTTTATTATTAAGGTTGAGATCTGGATTTATAATACCAAAATCTTTTCCTTTCCTTTAGTTTTGTGCTTGTGTGTATGTCATTCCTTTGTATGAGGTAATCATTTGATCTGCAATACTCATAAAATCTGGCTCCTATTGTTTTACATTGCATTACTGCCGTTTTTTTAAATAGAGTCTTACTACTGGCTGATATAAGCTGCTTTGAGTGCTTTGTGTTTCATTTGCGTTACCAGTGAAATAATAGTTGCATCCCTCATTTATGAATGTTGTTTTACGATATTGATACGTCTAAACTTGGTCAGTAAATTCATGGAAATCTGCCTACAGATAAACAGTCATGATGTTTGATTGTGTTGAGAGCATGGCTCCACACCATATACCCAGAAGCTGTGACAGTGCAGAGGCTAGCATATATGCCTGGTAGTCATGTGTTCAAAACTTTTTTTTTGCGGGGAAACTTTTTCGGTCACATAGGCTCCAAAATTGACCCAGCCTTTAGAAAATGAATGCTGGGAAACTCCTGGAAAATAAAAGAGTGACCAGTGTGTTACATGCAGACCTGATAAGGAGAACTCACTGGAGACCCAAGAAATAGTTTTTCTTATCAGACATTCCTCTTATTCCTCTTTAAAATCTGTCAAGGAGCACCATATGGCCAGCACATCTGGAGGCAGGAGAGGTCCTCTACTGACAGCTAGACTTTGTCATGACCAGATCTGTTCATCGAGCAACAAAACACCAACCAGATTAGTTCATCGAGCAACAAAACACCAACCAGATCTGTTCATCGAGCAACAAAACACCAACCAGATTAGTTCATCGAGCAACAAAACACCAACCAGATTAGTTCATCGAGCAACAAAACACCAACCAGATTAGTTCATCGAGCAACAAAACACCAACCAGATTAGTTCATCGAGCAACAAAACACCAACCAGATCTGTTCATCGAGCAACAAAACACCAACCAGATTAGTTCATCGAGCAACAAAACACCAACCAGATTTGTTCATCGAGCAACAAAACACCAACCAGATCTGTTCATCGAGCAACAAAACACCAACCAGATTTGTTCATCGAGCAACAAAACACCAACCAGATTTGTTCATCGAGCAACAAAACACCAACCAGATTAGTTCATCGAGCAACAAAACACCAACCAGATTTGTTCATCGAGCAACAAAACACCAACCAGATTTGTTCATCGAGCAACAAAACACCAACCAGATCTGTTCATCGAGCAAC